GTTCAAACCTGTATACTTTAACCATAGAGTATTCGGGGGATGCTAGAATGCCACTCTGACATCATGACATCACTTCCAGTTTTGCTTTGGAAGTGATGTCTTGCACTGGCATGCCACTGGCACATCTGTCTCCACCCCAAATTCCTCCTCGGCAGGTTGTTGGCTGTGGCTGGCACCCTGCATGCAGAGGTCCCCAAATTTGGCTTCCATTAAGATCGAGATTAGACTGTACCTAAGGCAATGTTCTGTGCTCCAGGAACCCTGGGAAACAGGGCTCCTGAATCCTTACTAGGAATGCCTGATACACGGGGAACTGCATTTCCCAAGATTTATGGTGCTTAGGATGCTACTTTGGCAGTGTTTTTGGAGGGGGATAATAGAAGCCCCATCACTAACCATCTCTATAGCAGCTACTCCAACCTTGCAGAGTTGTATTTATGAATAAATAGATGTATTTTTAGGGCCTCTGATTATGAGGGGCCAATAAATACCAAAAGTGAACAAAAAACCCACAACCCACTAAATTATCATTTTTGGGTAATGCTTATTGCTATAGGTAGAGTTGTCAGGTACCCACCCATGGCTGGCAAACTCACACCTTTGCCATCCATTGCTCAGACTTGATCCAGTGAGCAGCTGGAGAAAAATGTGGAGTGGGAAGTATTGATGATGCTGTGACATCACATCCATGTGATCACCAGGAAGTGACATCACAGCCCCCTGCGCAGTAGGAATTTATCTGATTGCTATGGTATTTACCATAAAGATTGGGCAAATTCTTAGAATGTCTGAGGGGTAGTGACATCACTTTCCAGTGACTGCCCAGAAGGTACATCACAGCGTCATCAATGCTTCTCACCCCCAGGTGCTGCCTCTCCCATAGATACCAGGGATTGAGAGTGTGAGCCTGGAAACCCTAACTAAAGAAAATGTTAAACGTGGCTTCACTCAGAACCCTAGCATGTCTCAAAGAAGTCTTGCAACCAGGTGAGATTTTCAGT